GTAAGTAGTTGTTGTCTTCTGCTAGGCAATTAACGTTGTTTTCTGCTATGTAAGTGACGTTATGTCCTGCTAGGTAAGTGACGTCGTTTGCTAGATAAGTGGCGTCGTTTGCTAGGTAAGTGACGCCATCTTCTGCTAGGTAGACGGCATATTCGGCTAAGTAGCGACGTGACCTGTATCAGTGGCAAGTCGACCTGTATCAGTAGCGAGGTGACCTGTATTAGTGGCAAGTTGACCGGTATCAGTGGCAAGTTGACCTGTATCAGTAGCGAGGTGACCTGTATCATTGGCAAGTTGACCGGTATTAGTGGCAAGTTGACCTGTATCAGTGGAGAGCTAACCTGTATCGTGTCTAATCAGGTGTCTATGACCAGCACTAATGATGTGCTCCTTGGAGCAGCTTACAGCAGGAGAAGAAGATAGAGAAAGCCAGGAGCAAGATGAAGCAACTGACTGAGGAAAACAAGAGAATTCGTTACAGGTCCTCCTGTGGTGAGTGCTCACGACAACGAAATAAGCTGCAACGTAGTGACGACCTGCCGAATCGATAGGGCAACCTGCCGACTAGACTGGAAGCTGGTTGGAAGGAAAGTGGTGAAGCTGAAGGGGAAGAAGCTTCAGGAGACGAATCTGAAAGCTATCACATGTTACTTTTCTGTGTTGCCTGACGAATGTGGCTCGATCACCAGGGTCGAATAACCATTAATTTTTAAAGGGGTAGACTGGTAAGCCAGAGGAAGGCCTCGATCAGATGACCAAAAGCTCCAGTAACGTATCTTCATGTGATTGCTTGAAATGCAAGATATTTTTAGCTTCCATGATTGCATTATGGACGTTATGGTTCTTTGTCTCCACAAATTCTTTAATGCACAATGCATATTTTTCCCTTTTACCAGATCTTCGATTCATCTCATTTTTTTTATGGACATTTCCACAGACAAGTCTTCTCCAAAGCATATAAACACATTTTCCCACACTCTGATATCCAATCATTTAACTGTCTAAATATTTTTGTTACTCTCATCACCTTTGTCTTTTCCATGTTTACTTTAGTTGCCTTCCTACACCTACCCTCCCCAAAAAATTTTTTTTAAAATATATGAAGCATTTTAGTAAAAAAAAATCATGAAATTAAAATTAGGCAATTAAGTTTTAATATATTTACATATTGACCAAATTGAAAAAAAAAACTTTCGCTACATTTAAGAATAAATGAAATTATAATATCAATTATTTCAAAAATATTTAAAAGCTAAAGAAGGATACAATACTTTAACCTTCCTAAGGTAGAAATATGTTGTTTTTATAAAAGCGTAGGAGAAGGAAGACAAGCAGCCATGGTGCCTCTGGCCTGGCGTACCCGGCACAAGAACACCAACACAAAGGTCATGTTAGAAATTCCTTCTCAATTTTATTCTCCAAATGACAAAGGACAAGCAGTATTTTATCGTAGCGTTAGGACTAGCATGAGTGTGGCTCTAGGATATCCAGCCCAGCCCACCCATGAATGAGTGTGGCTCTAGGATATCCAGCCCAGCCCACCCATGAAACAACACTGTTCAACTATATCACAGAACACAGCATAGTAACTCTCTTACTAAACACAGCACACTAACTCTTACAGAACACAGTACAATAACTGTCTTACTGAACACAACAGAGTAATTCTCTTACAGAACACAGCACAATAACTGTCTTACTGAACACAATAGAGTAACTTCTCTTACAGAACACAGCACAATAACTGTCTTACTGAACACAACAGAGTAACTCTCTTACAGAACACAGCACAGTAACTGTCTTACTGAACACAATAGAGTAACTTCTCTTATAGAACACAGCACAATAACTGTCTTACTGAACACAATAGAGTAACTTCTCTTACAGAACACAGCACAATAACTGTCTTACTGAACACAACAGAGTAACTCTCTTACAGAACACAGCACAATAACTGTCTTACTGAGCACAATAGAGTAACTTCTCTTACAGAACACAGCACAATAACTGTCTTACTGAACACAACAGAGTAACTTCTCTTACAGAACACAGCACAATAACTGTCTTACTGAGCACAATAGAGTAACTTCTCTTACAGAACACAGCACAATAACTGTCTTACTGAACACAACAGAGTAACTCTCTTACAGAACACAGCACAGTAACTCTCAATAACAAATGGAAAGGAAATAGTTACCACTTGTTCTCCACCCAACAACAGGGGATACAGACACATCACACTACCCTGCACCACACTACCTTGCACCACACTACCCTGCACCACACTACCCTGCATCAAACTACCCTGCATCACACCTCCCTGCATCACACTACCCTGCACCACACTACCCTGCACCACACTACCCTGCACCACACTACCCTGCATCACACTACCCTGCATCACACTACCCTGCATCACACTACCCTGCATCACACTACCCTGCATCACACTACCCTGCATCACACTTCCCTGCATCACACTACCCTGCATCACACTACCCTGCACCACACTACCCTGCACCACACTACCCTGCACCACACTACCCTGCATCACACTACCCTGCATCACACTACCCTGCATCACACTACCCTGCATCACATTACCCTGCACCACACTACTCTGCACCACACTACCCTGCACTACACTACCCTGCACCACACTACCATGCACTACACTACCCTGCACTACACTACCTTGCACCACACTACCCTGCACTACACTACCCTGCACCACACTACCCTGCACTACACTACCCTGCACCACACTACCCTGCACTACACCACCCTGCATCACACTACTCTATATCACAGTACAATGCACAACACTACCCTGCACCACACTACCCTGCATCACACTACCCTGCATCACACTACTCTGCATCACACTACCCCGCACCACACTACCCTGCATCACACTACCCTGCACCACACTACCTTGCACTACACTACCCTGCATCACACTACCCTGCACCACACTACCCTGCATCACACTACCCTGCACCACACTACACTGCACTACACTACCCTGCATCACACTACCCTGCACCACACTACCCTGCACTACACTACCCTGCATCACACTACCTGGACCACACTACCCTGCATCAGACAACCCTGCACTACACTACCCTGCATCACACTACCCTGCACCACACTACCCTGCACCACACTACATTGCATCACACTACCTGGACCACACTACCATTCATCAGACTACCCTGCATCAAACTACCCTGCATCACACTACCCTGCATCACACTACCTTGCATCACACTACCTTGCGTCACACTACCCTGCACCACACTACCCTACATCACACTTCCCTTCATCACACCACCCTACATCACACAACCTGCATCACACAACCCTGCATCACACTACCCTGCATTACACTACCCTGCATCACACTACCCAGCACCACACTACCCTGCATCACACTACCTGCACCACACTACCCTGCATTACACTACCCTGCATCACACTACCTTGCGTCACACTACCCTGCACCACACTACCCTACATCACACTACCCTTCATTACACTAACCTGCATCACACAACCCTGCATCACACAACCCTGCATCACACTACACTTCATTACACTACCCTGCATCACACTACCCTGCACCACACAACCCTGCATCACACTACCCTGCACCACAGAACTCTGCATCACACTACCCTGCATCATACTATCCTACATCACATTACCTTGCACCACACTACCCTGCATCACACTACCGTGCATCACAATACCATGCACCACACTACCCTGCATCACACTAACATGCGTCACATTATCCTGCATCGCACTATCCTGAATCACACTACCCTGCACCATACAACCCTGCATCACACTACCCTGCATTACTCTATCCTGCATCACACTATCCTGCATCACACTATCCTGCATCACACTATCCTGCATCACACTATCCTGCATCACACTACCCTGTGTCACACTATCCTGCATCACACTATCCTGTGTCACACTACCCTGTGTCACACTATCCTGCATCACACTATCCTGCAGTACACTACCCTGCATCACACTACCATGGATCACACTACCCTGCATCTCACTACCCTGTGTCACACTATCCTGCATCACACTATCCTGTGTCACACTACCCTGTGTCACACTATCCTGCATCACACTATCCTGCAGTACACTACCCTGCATCACACTACCATGGATCACACTACCCTGCATCACACTACCCTGCATCACACTACCCTGCATTACTCTATCCTGCATCACACTATCCTGCATCACACTATCCTGCATCACACTATCCTGCATCACACTACCCTGTGTCACACTATCCTGCATCACACTGTCCTGTGTCACACTACCCTGTGTCACACTATCCTGCATCACACTATCCTGCAGTACACTACCCTGCATCACACTACCATGGATCACACTACCCTGCATCGCACTACCCTGCATCTCACTTCCTTGCATCACACTATCCTGCATTAGACTACCCTTCACCACACTAACCTGCATCACACTACCCTGCATCGCACTACCCTTCACCACACTACCCTGCATCACACTACCCTGCATCACACTTCCCTGCACCACACTACCCTGCATCACACTACCCTGCATCACACTATCATGCATCACACTATCCTGCATCACACTTCCTTGCACCACGCTACCCTGCACCACAGTACACTGCACCACACTAGCCTGCATCACACTATCCCGGATCACACTTCCCTGCATCACACTACACAACATCACAATATCCTGCACAAAACTACACTACATCACACTACCCTGCATCACACTATCCTACATCACACAATCCTACATCACACTACACTGCATCACACTATCCTGCATCACACAATCCTACATCACACTACACTGCATCACACTATCCTGCATCACACAATCCTACATCACACTACACTGCATCACACTATCCTGCATCACACTGCACTTCATCACACTACCTTGCATCACACTATCTTGCATCACACTAT